AATAACATGTGGAATTCATCAGGCCATTTTATTGCAAAATAAATTGGATAAAAGGCCGTGATCACTTTTAATTAAAAATCAAGAAATTAATTTGGCCCAATTAGTAAAGGATTTCATCTTATTGTAGAAGGGCCAAAATAAATTTTAGCCATACAAGAAATCTTGGATGGGTCCATACGATGATTCATCCCTCGAGAGAGTCGTTAATTTTTGGTTCTCAACCTTGAATTCCAATCATTTACTTAATTAAATAATCCCGAAAACTTCATAATATAATGTCCCATACCGAAATAGTGGTGTTCGTTGTGCTGTCGATAGAGAATGTGGGCAAAGAATATTCATTTACCAGAAAAGAGGTGTTTGCCCTGCATATGCGCTTGGTGTGCCGAGATTCCATTTGCACTGTCATCTGCCGTGGTTTTACATGGCTGGTTTATATTTGTGTTTCGAAAGTTTTTTGTTTTAATTATTTTTTTATATATTTTTATGCGTTGGTATAAAAATAATTTTTAAAAAATAAAAAATATATTATTTTAATATATTTTTAAATAAAATATATTTTAAAAAACAATAGTTTACTTGTCTACACTTGTGTGAAAGAATGCACTCTCGTGCCATCTCAAAACTCAAAAGAAAATGTACTTAGGCGTGTGCCCTAACACAAGATTAAACAACATGAGATAGGTCAAGATTGAACGAGGAAGAGGTCGTTCTAGTCATGTCGAAATATTTTGGCTTTGCCTGAGCAGCTGTTTGATTTTTTCAATGAACCATCGGTTTATTTTGATCTGCACTAGTTGAATTGGCTTTCAATTTTCAAAGATCACGTCAGTGATCTCTGAACTCAGGATCCCATGTGGGAAAATAGGAAAGGCTAGCAGGGTATGAAATTTTAAAATGACAGTAGCTTAGGGATAATTAATCAACTCTTTGTACGTGTCTTAAAGTATACATTAATTTTGGCAAACCCTCCAGGTATTTATAATAAGAAACAGACCAATGATAATTAAATCAAGGCTAGCCGCCATTGTTCACTGCTTAATTTAATACTTAATACATTCATGATAGTGAGTGGCTTCATCCCTGACCTAATTAACAACAGTGTAATGGATGTTTCAGAGTATTTCTAGAAGACATGTCTGGATCAGAAGAACGATAAATTAAGAAGAAACGCCCTGCAAATGTTGCAAATACTCCATGTTCTAATTTTTGAACATTTAGTTAAGAGCACCTTGTAATAGGTAGTCTTGTCCAGTGCAAAAAAAGATAAATCGATTGCATGGAATTAATATTCTGATTAACTTTATATACCATATTTTATTTTATAATTTCGAGGACTTTCGTGGGGGGGAAGCAACTCTGAACAATTGTTCGCGGGGTCTTCTTAATCTAATTCTAAAAATAAAATTTTTAAATAAGATGAAAAAAGAACACGAGAATATTAGATCATGGATGAATATAAAAATACATAGATTATTAAAATTTTATTATATAACGACAAGGATTAAATAATAAATTTTATTAACATGCAATAATTAAATTATAATTAACTCTTCTTCTTCTTCTTCTTAACGAAAACAATAGTCCTTAGTAGGTCTGCACAAATACGAGCAAGGTATGATGCGATCTCTTCATTTAAGCTTTACCAGGAGGTTCATTTTCCATTTACATTCGTCAACGAGTTCACTTCTGTAATTCTTTTTGTCCAATTATTTTAATAATAGGCCAGGTATACATTTCCTTAGTAGATCATCATTTATTTGCCTTAATTAATGATCATTAAAGGGCCTTCTTCGCCAGGCATGGTGAATTCAGAAAACTATACATCCCATGTTATGGAAATTAATGATAATTACTCGGACGTAGAAGGTTCTAAAATAAGAATCTTGATTAACATTTCCTCTAGAGATCACACTTCAAGATTATTTATATACATGGCATCTAGAGTTGCTCAAAGATTTGAATGCAGAGGGGGTACATGGTTTTAATCAGATGCAATGAGCACACACATTGAGCTTGGACATGGCTTAAAGCTTAGCTATATATACAATGTTCTTTATTTCTGTAGCCCTACGAAGTTTTATCCTTTGGCCCACCCCATTTTCATGATGACACGAGCTGCTTGTCACTTAATTAGGCTCATAACCTGGACCTTATGCGAAAAAACGACGAGGAAAGAAAAGGACAGAAGGATATAATCCTAGTTAGATACACTAAAGACAAATAGAATCCTTCCTCGAACGACCCATGAAGTTATTGCTTTCTCAGAAAAAAAGAGGGCTAGACAACTTAATTGGTGTCGTCTTTCAGTTTTTAATTGAATGATAATTGAGATGCAAACTTGCACGTAGCTAGCTCATTAGAAGCATATATTCATTATCATGACTCTCGGATGAAAAGAAAAAATAAATTATAATAAGAGATAGAGGCCGAGAAAACTTAGTTTTCTTAGAGAACAATGCCTAGCTAATGGTGTGGTGGAATGGTGTTACGAATGGATTTTGCTTCTTCAGAAAATTGGATAATGGTGAGAATAATCCTTCCAGCTTTACAAAAAAGTAATTCATTTCCACCAATGAAGCTTTCTTCTACGTCATAAAACTGTAATTTATTTATTTTTCATAGAGCCATCTTTGAATGCATTATCACATTGTCAAGAGTCACGAAGTTACCTATAAATATTCTTATGTTGAACAATGAAGTTGCAAGGAAAACACATATACACGACAAAGATAGAAACATTGAAAGTGAGAAGAGAGATTGTCTTTGAGAAATCAAAGAAAGAAAGAGCAAAAAAAGAAAAGAAGAACGATATCTTGTTTGGAATTCTCTATAAAAACCCCTACAACCCCTTGCCTTCCCACAATTCACACTTCATTTTCTTTGAGCAATCCATTCACTTCTCTAGAACCTCATTTCTTGCCCATAA